GCTTCCAGTTCGAGCAGCCGCAGTGTTTGATTACAAGGGTAGGTTAGGCAGAGGACTAAAGAGACATAACACTAGTTGGAAGTGTGTAAGAGAAAGACATTCACTCGAGGGATGCCGCTCTTATTTTGCAGACTGAACCACTGTTATATTGCATCAAATTCCCTCCGAATTATGGCAACCCTGTGAATCGGTGATCTCCAAAATGTCCTGAACTCAGCAGCCTTGTTCAGCTCTTGCAAACTCAAACCTCTAGTTTCCTTGAGTCCATCCATCTCATATTTGGTTTTCCTCTTTTTCAGCCGCCTTCAACCTTTCCCAGCATCATTGTCTTCCAGAGAATCTTGCTTTCTCATGATGTGCCCAGAGTATGACAGCCACAGTTAAATTCGTTTTTGCCTCCTGATTTTGTGGCTGCAGTTTCCATTTGGACTGGTTATTGAATCAAGCTGTTGTTGTTGTTGTTGTTGTTAAGTCATGTCCGACTGTTCGTGACCCCATGGACCAGAACATGCCAGGCCCTTCTGTCTTCCACTGCCTCCCAGAGTTTGGTCAAATTCATGTTGGTAGCTTCAATGACACTGTCCAAACATCTTGTCCTCTGTCGTCCCCTTCTCTTGCCTTCACACTTTCCCAAGATCAGAGTCTTTTCCAGGGAGTCTTCTCTTCTCATGAGATGGCCAAAGTATTGGAACTTCAGCTTCAGGATCTGTCCTTCCAGTTGGTACTCAGGGCTGATTCCCTTCAAAATGGAGAGGTTTGTTCTCTTTGTAGTCCAGGGGCCTCTCAAGAGCCTCCTCCAGCACCACAATTCAAAAGCATCAATTCTTCGACGGTCAGCCTTCTTTATAGTCCAGCTCTCACTTCCATACATCACTACTGGAAAAAACATAGCTTTGACTATGTGGACCTTTGTCAGCAAGGTGATGTCTCTGCTTTTTAAGATGCTGTCTAGGTTTGTCATCGCTTTCCTCCCAAGAAGCAGGCATCTTTTAATTTAATGGCTGCTGTCACCATCTGCAGTGATCATGGAGCCCAAGAAAGTAAAATATGACACTGCCTCCATATCTTTCCCTTCTATTTACCATGAAGTGATGGGACCAGTGGCCATGATCTTCGTTTTTTGGATGTTGAGCTTCAGACCAGTTTTTGCACTCTCCTCTTTCACCCTTATTAAGAGGTTCTTTAATTCCTCCTCACTTTCTGCCATCAGAGTGGTATCATCTGCATATCGGAGGTTGTTGATATTTCTTCCGGCAATCTTAATTCTGGCTTGGGATTTATCCAGTCCTGCCTTTCACATGATGTATTCTGCATACAGTGGAACCTCATCTTATGAATGTCCCTACCTAGGAACGATCCAATTTACGAACAGCTCTGGCCAGAAAATTTTGCTTCTAATTCTGGCCTGAGCTTCAAGAAAGGAACAAAAAAGGTGGGGGAAAAGGGCGGGAAATTCAAACCATTGGTGATGAAGAGGCTGCTTCTTTGTAGCTTTTTCACAACAAGGGTTAGGAAAAGGGAGGCTCAGTCTCCCAGGCTTCCAGCACTGCTGCTACCGCTGCCGGGAGGCGAACCGCCGGACCATCTCGGTTGGGCTCAGTGTCCCAGGCTTCCAGCGCCGCCGCCGCAGGCTTTCCCAGGGTTCGCCACAAGCACCGCCTTTCTCCCCCACTGTGTGGCTTCTCCGCTGCCATGGGAGGCTTTCCTGGGGCTTGCCCCAAGTGCTGCCTTTCTCCGCTGCCATCCGCTGCCGGGGCAGGGTTTTCAGGCTAGGGCCTGGGAAAGCCTGCGTCGGCAGCATAGAAACCCTGGCCCAGTAGCAGATGGCGGTGATTGGGGCAAGCCCCAGGAAAGCTTCCCATGGTGGCGGAGAAGCTGTGCAGCAGGGGAGAAAGGCGGCGCTTGCAGCGAAAGCTGGCAGCAGTGGAGAAAACCTGGCCCGGCAGTGGGGGCTGGAGCCCGGGAGACCTCCTGGCAGCAGCGGTCGCGGCAGTGGAGGTAAGGTGCTGCTTTTTAAAAACTGTTTTGCGTGGCTTTTGCAGGGTGGGATTCGGCTGGTGGGGTTATGTTTGTTTTTTATTTGTTTTGTTTTTTGCAGCCACGGGCTGGTAGTGTTTTATTTTTTAATAATTTTTTGGTATTTTTTTTTTCTTTAGTTTAAACGGATTAATCGGTTTTCAACGCATTACTATGGGAAATGGTGCTTCTACTTACGAACGTTTCAATTTACGGCCACCGTTCCAGAATGGATTATGTTCGTAAGTCGAGGTACCACTGTATAAGTTAAATAAGCAGGGAGACAATATACTCCTTTCCCAATTTTGAACCAATCAGTTCTTCCATATCCAGTTCTCACTGTTGCTTCCTGTCCCACATACAGATTTCTCAGGAAACAGATATGGGGGTCAGGCACTCCCAGTTCTTTAAGGACTTGCCATAGTTCGTTGTGGTTGACACAGTCAAAGGCTTTTGCATAGTCAATGAAGCAGAACTAGATGTTTTTCTGGAACTCTCTGGCTTTCTCCATAATCCAGCGCATGTTAGCAATTTGGTCTCTAATTCCTCTGCCTCTTCAAAATCCAGCTTGTACTTCTGGGATTTCTCGGGCCACATACTGCTGAGGCCTACCTTGTAGGATTTTGAGCATAACCTTGCTAGCGTGTGAAATGAGTGCAATTGTACGGTAGTTGGAGCATTCTTTGGCCTGCCCTTCTTTAGGATTGGGATGTAGACTGATCTTTTCCAATCCTCTGGCCACTGCTGAGTTTTCTAAACTTGCTGGCATATTGAGTGTAGCACCTTAACATCATCATCTTTTAAGATTTTAAATAGTTTGACTGGAATGTCATCACCTCTACTGGCCTTGTTGTTAGCCATGCTTTCTAAGCCCCACTTGACTTCACTCTCCAGGATGTCTGGCTCAAGGTCAGCAACCACACTAACTGGGTTGTCTGGGACATCCAGATCTTTCTGATATAATTCCTCTGTGTATTCTTGCCACATCTTCTTGATGTCTTCTGTGAGGTCTGTCGCGAACACGGGTTCGAAAACACGCGTGTAAGCTTGGACAGAGAGCAATCAGGAATTTGCACATGCTAAAATAGGCTGAAGAGTCCAAATTCAGCCAGCCATGCTACAACACTCCTTCTCGCAAGTCTGCCCACATAAGAACACCCTGGTATTCTCAGATATTATTGTGAAAAGGTCAAGTGGGCTTTGTAGTCCTTAGACTTAACTTGCACCACTGACAGGACTCTAAGTAAGTTAGGCCGAGGCAGCACTCTCAGATGACCCTATGGCAAGTGTACTGTTCAGGAAACCAAATGAGTTTTATAATTTTTATTTTATTAAAGAAAAAGCATGTTACTA